ATCTCTTTTTCTTTGATCAGGGTTAATCATCTAATGTAGTTGATCCAAGTTAGCTGCCTTAAATGGAGATCAAAATATTAATATGAAATCTTGAGAAAGATACTTGACTTACTTAAATTATCAGTGGGATCAGAGGATTTTTATAATTTATCTTAGTGAATGAATGCAGAATGTCTTTAGTGTTTTGAACTTTTGTTTTGCACCTTTTGAAACATGGCTTTTCAATGCTATTTATTATGCAAAATCTTTAGGTGCATCTGTTTTTTAACACTTATTAAATCAAATTTTAAAATGTGTCTATGTATGCAGTGGCCTATGGGTTGTAATGGTAGATGATGCTATGTATAAACAGGCTATAGTATGATCATTATAATCCCTGCTGAGTAAACTTCCCTTCAAATACTCAAGAATCATCTACAAGGCCTTCATCCCTCCTCAGATGCTTGTCTCTGTCTTGGCCTTAAGCTCAACCTCATAATCATTCCACACTCTCTATTTAATTTTTCAAAAACTGCACTGCTCTATTGATATGGTAAATTATAAGATTAGAGTGTGGATTAACACTGAGATTATTACAGTAACCCATCTGATTTATATGCTGAAGTATCTGCACTGTGTAACAGATTAAACATGTAATTTGTGAATAAAAACTAATAAAGATCTCCATAAGAAACATACCCTTTATGTGTGATTAAGGATTTAAACTTGTTTATTGTCCAATAAGTCATTTTCTTAGTTGTAACAAAAATAGAAAAAAATTGTTCAATAAATTAAAGAATATTTTATTCATGAACAAAAGTCTTTAATTTCTGTTGGCTTAAATGATACACATTCAAATGTATCCAATGATGTCGTTGCATATGATGGGCTGCCGGCTGCCTGTCTTCATGAGTGCAGAGAACTGATAGTAATCAGTGTCCAACTGATGCAGCCCTGTGTGAGACTGATGGAAGAAAGGTTTGAGAGGCTCAAATCCCACGGGACAGGACATCCTCTGTGGAGCCTCTGCTGCTCTTCTTAACCGTGTGGAATCTGCTGGCTTTGGCCTCAGCTCCACACCTTTAGACATCCCTGCCAACCTCCGACGCATGTTGCCGAAAATGTCTTTTGCAAGGCGCCGGCCCGCGCTTGGCTTTATTTCAGCTGGTTCTGGTAAATCAGGCAGGTCCATCCAGTTCTTTATGAGGTCCGCAAAGCTGTTGTCCCCGAGAACCAAAGGTTGTCTGTTCCTGCTGCGGCTCAGCAGAGATGTGGTCCAGTCTTCTGTATCGGTCTCCTCGAAAGAAGTCCAGCGCTCCAGGCAGACGTCAGATGTTGACTTAGGCCGGATGGATGATCCTCTGTTTGTCCGGACACAGGCGGAGGAGGAGACGCGCACGTTTCTGGTCCTTCTCAGCACCACCCCTTCATCGTTCCAGGAAGCCTCCGAGAAACCGGAGTCTAAGTCCACACTCTTCTCACTGCCAGGAGAACCTTGTGCTAGTCGATCATTCTCCTGCTGCTCTTCCTCCTCCAGTGGGTTGGCCAGGCAGCAGGCAGAGTCATAGGTGCTGGCCTCACTGGAATCGGACGAGCGGAGACGGCAGAGTCGCCCCTGCTGCGCTCTCTGTTTGCAGATCCTTGTTACAGCAAAAGACTGAGCACATGGCTCACTGAGTGGTCTCGGCCTGCTTATCTGCTTCAGGTCCTGCAAGGATCTCATCATGGACTGCATTTGGTCCCGTAGACAGTCAGTGGAGTTTCCCAAACACAGCTGAAGATGGAGAAACACACAAAATACTTAATTATCTATGCAAAACATTAAGATTAACTACAATCAGCATTTTGACTCTAAGAATACCTTTATGCACTGCTTTGTTAAAGTATTTAAACCTCACAAAGCTGAACAATTGAAGGATCATTCTATTCAAAACAGCTGAAACTTGGTCAAATTGGACAGAGAATAGAAATGTATGTCTTAATATAGGCTCTCCTATGGATTCAGCTCTAAGGTTGCAATGCGTTTAGCTCTGTGCATCTTCCAATCTACTCTGAGCAGCTTCCCAGTTCGTGCTGAAGAAAATGATCCCCAATATATTATACGTCCACAACCAAACTGATGGAGAGGAGGTTTGTGAAAGGTACGAATATCATTTCCAAATAGAACCCCTACTTATTGGAATATTTTTGAAAAGCAGTTTTAACTGTCACTCTGTACATCTCTTGACAGGCATGGATTGATCCTAGTCTTATTGCAACAACCAGTCATCAAGATGTTTACCACTTTTCTCCTATTGGTACATTCATAAATTCTAAAAAAAAAAAATTAAAATAGAAGCTTAATGAATGCCATTAAAATCCAGTATATGCCAATTTTCACAGCAAGGGGGACACTTGAAACTGACGTTTAAAGAAAAAAACATTGCCTCCTTAGTATAAGGGGGGAAGTTTGAAACGAAGTGGAGCTTAATCTGGACTGCACCATGTTGGTTCTCATATCCTTCAGCTCACAGGATGTTGACTGCTGTTTAATACGACAGGAAATGACAGCAACCTTTTGGAATTACTAACCTCACAGGCTCTTTGGATAATCCCCTTTCACCAGTTTCAGATTGATAAACTCATAATTTACATCTCTTTAGCCAAAAAAAAAAATCTGTATAAATAAGACATGTTCTCAGTACTTGCAGTCCTGGAGTTTGTTTCTCATTATTCTTTTTAAACTTTAGAGTCTGGCTCAGAGAAGTAAGGACACTAAACTGCTATGATGTTATCACAGCTGTGGGTGCTGAACCATTTGGCCCTGAAGACAGAGGACATAGAGAGACACCCACAGGGAGACTAATGCTTTTTAAAGTCCCCAGTTCTTCATGGTTACTTTCAGTAGCCAGAGGTAATTAATTTACATTATATACACTTAACTGGGACTGTTAAGTCTGAATAAACTACAGTTAGGGAGGAGAGATACCCCTGTCCACAATTATTGAAGAAAAGCATTGTAGCCAATACTTTTACTGAGCTATTCGTGAATCCAACTTAAGCAATGTGATTTCTCTAAAAAGAAGTGAAGTGGTATAAATCAGTAAGCATTCAGAATAAAAGATAATAAACTTACCATTTCTTGTAGGAAGATTTCAATCCAAAATAATAAAACAAATAACAGGATACTGATTCTTTTTATACATTTAAGTCAAACATAAAACTATTTTACATCAAAGTAAATTAAACCATCTATCCAAAATGATAACGTGCTGATGTGTCTCCCAGCATCCACTCCCTCTTCTGAGACTAATGAAGTCTGTCGGTTTAATTTGAGGTTTCTGAGGTTTCCTGCTGCAGCCAATCAGCGCAGAGTAGTGGCAAAAGCCAGCCAATCAACGCAGAGTAGTGGCAAAAGCCAGCCAATAGGAAGCCGCCTTAAACAAAATAAGCGCAGTAAGAACCACAGCATTGAAGTTTTCCTGCAGCACCCTGACTGCTGTGACTCCACATCTGGATCTGAGAAGCATACGCTAGATTCCACCATTCCTAGTCGTGTTATTGTTTATTGTACTGCAGCAAATGGTTATTTAATTTATTTATTTTATTCAAAGTTTATTTAATTTATTTTTAACCTTTTTCATTTAGTCAAATTTTTAGCAGTTGGTCGCAATAATTGAAATGTACTATTAAATATGAAGTGTTTAAAAAAAAACGTAAAACTATGAGAGCTCAGAATGCTGCCTAGAATAGAGTTTTTAATCCAATATTTTGTCAGATTGAACGTTAAATCAGTGTTATCCAAAGCACAGCATTGGGTTCACTGGTTTATGCCCAATGGCGCCACCTGCTGGCTCTCCCTAAACTGTCTCAGATTTTACTAGACCAGCTAAAAGTAACAGATTCGTTGGCAATTATTCCTATATATAATACATCATTTCACTGTGTTATTTTCGTCGCTACACACCTAAATAGCTTTTTTCCAATGACAATTTTGGTGACTTAAGGGTTACTATGATAAACTATGATAGTTAAAAATATAATTTCAAGTTCTGATGTGATGGATTAACAAAAAACAGATCAGTTTGGTTTTAATATGAATATATTTAAAGATTTAAATATGATCAAAATCATTTATTTCAGTGATTCCATTCAAAGTGTGAAACTCACATCAGTGTTTACACACAATGGTTTATTTTTTATTTCTGCTAGGTTTTTTTTAATTATTATAATTTAGGGTCCACATTAACAGAAGGGGTAAATCTAATTTTGCACTTCAGTTAAAAAAAACAAAAAAAGAGAATGGTACGTTTATGACTGACACATAGACTTGATAGCTGTCCAGCAGGTCATTATCGCCCTTTTTAGGTAAGTCCTAAAAACAGTAGTGTTCCTTTTTACAATGCCTTAATCTATATGCAATAATGGCAATTTTAGTTGAAGGAAAATGTTTGACAAAGACGCATAAAAGAAAAAGATTATCAGAGTCAAAGCTATCACAAGACTCCGTGACAGAGTTGACAAAGTGGGGAATGCAGCTGGAGTCAGAGCTTCAAGAGTCAATAAAAGCAAAACATAATTAAGCAGACGCCTTCAGTGTGTTGAGCCAAACATTTTCAGCTGTCAGGTGTCTTGTAGCAGAATGATGGCTGTGGAGGGAGGATGATTCTGGGCTTCTCCGTGTTAATGGGGCTGTACTTTTCAGATCATTATAAAAATACTGAATGATGACAGGATTATTGCATTTCATGTTTTTTTCTCACAGTCGACCACATCATAGCTAAAAGCTGATCACTTCAAACATTTCATGACATCTTGCATCACAGATTCTACACTAAACGGTGGATAATATACTAAATTCTGCAGGGTGAGATTATGTTACTGCAAAAAAAAAAAAAAAAAAAAAGATGAATTCTTTTTAGGGCTTTTAACTTTTATGAAATAGTGACTCCCATCAGTTACTATCACAAAATTATTGGTAGGTCTATATAGATGATAGAAATCATTTTCACACTCTTCATATATCACAATGAAGCCAGAAGTTAATGTGGTCAGAATTTATTTACATTTAACAAGTGATTCAGTATAATAATAATAATTCATAACGGTCATTTATTCATCTTGTGCCGTGCTGTGTCATAAATTATGGATCCTGTGAACTTGGGTGTAATAAAAATAGCCCTAATTCACACGATGACGATGGCATGTCTCTAAAGAACAAGTGTAAACAGATATCAAGGCACAAACATATGTTTAAAAAGACTTGGAACGAAAAGACATAAAACAATCCTTATTGGAAACAGACATTACCATTTAAAAATCGCATACCTTAAAATCGATACATTAACCATTTCTGCCTTTTTTTTAACAAGATGCTTAGGGGTGGTTAATCATTATGTGGGGAGATTACACGCTAATCTATGGCGAGTCATGCAGAAAGATGCACTATACAAGTATTGATTCTGTGTAAACAGTGTAAAAAAAATGTCTTGTCTGGTTTTGTAATTAAATGCTTGTTAGTTTTCCTTTAAAAATAATCTCTGCACTTAAAAGGGTCTTAAAAAGAAAGTTAACAGAAGCGCATGTATTCTATTATAAAAAGTTGTTTTCCCTGTCAATTTATATCCTTTTTACAGTTTAAAACAAATTTAATGAGAAATCTCAATACAAAAACAGAGAAATATTAAATAAAACCTTCTGAGCATGTTGCATTAAAATTGTTCAATTATTTTTTTAAAGTTATGCTGTATTTACACCAACATTGGGACTTAATAAGATGTCAAGCATAGAGTTTCCAACAAAAGCTACAAGCATAATGTGTCTAATTAAACAGATGTAATTTAATTAGATATAACAGATCTAATTAAGATGTTTTTGGTTCAAATTAGAGCATAAACTGTGTTTGTTTAATACGAGTAAAAGAAAAACTCCCAGCAAAGACGAGCGTGGATGAGATGATGTCAGTAAAACATTGATTAGTTCTGACAGGTTCCTCTTCCCAAATAAAACCGGCACATCATGGTTTGCATTATGAAAAGCAGGAGTCGTCAAATTGCTATTGCAGTCTCTCAAGAAGTCTGTTGATTTTTGTCCTGAAGAAAAAGAGAAAAGTGTTCGACAAGTCTGTAAATAAAACTATCCACAACAAATCAAACAGAAATGAAGAATTTTTAACAAAAGCATTTACATTTAGGAGTTAAATGATTTACTCCTTAAAAAGAAAAGTCTTTAAATTAAGCCACAATGCATGTACAAACTCAGATGTATTTAATTGGGAATTCATTATGAACACATTCACTTTTAGCCCTTTATATTGTGAAACCCTCAATACCATCAAATGCAACCAGCTGCTTTCCTAAAACAACTTATTAGTGAAACAAGTATCCAAGTTTTAAACTTCTCAGAGTCATGCCAATCACAAGTCTTGAGGTTTTACCTTCCAAAGGGGACAATGGTGTTAACGTACAGCCAGGATTAAAATATAGTGAGTTAGATCAAATTAAGGACTTTAAATGATAAAAAGGCACCTTAACTCCCTGTTTTAAAGTTTTTTTTCTGTTTGTTTAAACCACATATTTTCTCCAGTAGCTTCTATTTTACGTTGAGTCTATTAATTGATTAGGGTTTTTATATATATTAGAAGTCTTGGCTTGATTTATATTGTTTATTTTTTCAGATTTGTACAGCATTTTGGCAAACTTTCTTTTTTTTTTTATTCTTTATAAATCAACATGGTTTGAATAGTCATTTGTATAACTCTTAGGTTTAATGCAAAAACAACAAATTGTGTAGTCTGCACAATTTAAAAAATGTTTACCACATGCTACAAATACCAAAATGATTTTCCTCCAGTATCATAAGAGTATCATTTTGTCTTTCATTAAACAAACAGCATCAAGAAAATGAAGTAAAACAGCGGATCAGAGATAAATTTGGTGAGAACAAACAGGTATTTGTTAATAAACATCAACATAAGGTTAAAAAAAAAATCACTGAAAACTGTTCCAAAAATGTTAATGAAAAGAATCTAAAAGAATCTTCAACAAAACAGCAAAGCATGATTTTGTATAAGACTCAAGAGGTGTGAATACTTTGCATATGCGTTTTTAAGGAGACTTTGCAGCAAAACGTTTATTCTTATGCCTTACCTTTAAAAAAGACCGCAGTCTTTCAGATTGTTCTTAATAATAACATCAGTGACAGCGTCAAAGACAAACTGAACGTTCTTGGTGTCCGTGGCACAGGTGAAATGGGTGTAGATCTCCTTGGTGTCCTTTTTCTTGTTCAGGTCCTCAAATTTGGTTTGGATGTAACTGGCAGCTTCGTCAAACTTGTTTGCTCCTGAGAAGCAACAGTTTAGAAAAACCTAAGTTATCAAAGATGGGAGGAATAAAAAGCTGTCGTGGTAACACTGTGCTACCTGAATATTCGGGGAAGCAGATGGTAAGGGGGCTTCGAGTGATCTTCTCCTCAAAGAGGTCCTTCTTGTTGAGGAAGAGGATAATGGAGGTTTCAGTGAACCACTTGTTGTTGCAGATGGAGTCAAATAGTTTCATGCTCTCGTGCATTCGGTTCTAAAGAGAAGAAAAGATGATAATGGCAACAGCTTCAGTCAGTATCTTGCACCATCAGTGGTTCTTGGGTAGATTTTAGTAGAGTTTTGAGAAAGGTTAGGTGTCAATCATTGAAATAGAAACACGTTTTATTTACCTAAATGTAAAGCTGTTCAAATAAAGATACAAGGTTCAATCAAAAGTGGATTTGTAAGAAATAGACCTTCTTAAGAAAGGAGAAAAATAGGAAAACCCAACAAAAATGTCATATTGCTTACTTTTTTCTTTTTTTTAAATTCTCCTTTTATTCAGAAAAGCACTTCTCCATCACTTATACCAATACACACTTAGAAAAAATAAGTCTGTCAAAGACTCGGTAATTCTGTCCATACTGCTCTTGTGGAGTTTTCTCCCTATGGACTCAAACTAGTCCAGGTGGTAACAATATAACAAAACAACAGCACCCCTAAATGCAATCAATACACCAAAAGAAAAAAATAGGTGGGCATAGGTTCAGACAATATAGTATAGTCAGGTAAAATCTAATCTGATTGGTTTTACATACTCAGTCCATTTGGTCCAGATCTTATAAAAATTTTCTATCCCAACTTTAAAGGAAAAAGAAGACATATTCTCCAAAACATAAGTATCATAAACAATCTTGATCCATTTGTCAATGGTGAGAGACTCTATTTTTAACTATTACTATTATAATCTAACTATTTCCTTCTGAAACATTTCTTACTCTCTGCCAACAATGCAGTTTTTTTGTCTTTTATGATCCATATTTCAGACAATATATTACCCCAAAACACAACTTCACATTTCAGTGGAATTTTCAAGTTAAATATATTGTTAATATGTTTGTGAATCTCTTCCCAGTAGGGTTTTTTTTGCTATGGAGTACCAAAAAATATGAAAGTGTTTGGCTCCATTAGACCCATAGAGTCTCCAACAAGCATCCCCGTTACCCTGGTGATGTTTTTGAATGGGTGTGTTAAAAAAAAAAATCTTCTTATGCTTTTCCAACAGAACTCCAGCAATGTGTTTGACCCAGTTTTGATCCATTGTAGATGATATATTTTCTCCCAGCTCTCCCGGGCAGACTAGAGGCCTCAACTGAACTGCGTGATAGTAATCCTGTGAGCAGATCAGGCCCATTCCCCCTCTTTCTTTTATTAATAATAATGTTTTAATTTTGATTCTGGCCACAGATAGCTCGCTTTTAATTCATCCCATTCTCAATACTCTCTAGATGTTATTTTAACTGGTAAACATTGAAAAAGGTACAACATCTTTGGGAAAATATTCATACTGATTGGTCTTTCCGGGAGCATAAACTTAAGACGGCAGTAAAATTCCACCTAAGTGTATCAGGCTTTATCTTTGAATTCAGTGGGCCACAGGTGATGTTATACAGTATTGTGAAGTCCCTAGGTAATGATACATCCAAATATTTAATGGATTCAGCATCCCACTTCTGATTGTACATGGTCTTAATTAAAGGTGGAGGATCATAATTAAGAGTTAATGCTTGGTTTTTATTAATATTAATTTTAGAACTGAAAACTAAACCAGATTCTTCTAGTAGTTTAATCTGTATCTGGAGTTTCTGAGTAGGGTGTGTTATATTCATTAAATCATTGGCAAATTCTCTTTCCAGAGTAATTTAATCAGTTAAGTTTCCATTTATTTTGATTCTAGCTGTGGTTTGCGATACAGTGCTGCGAAGACATCAAATATAGTTGTATAAAAACCAAATTTCAAAAGTACTTTGTATAAGAATGACCACCTCGCTGGATCAAATGCTTTCTCAGCATCCAAACTTAATATCAGCGTCTCCAGTTTTTATATGTGGCTTTTCTCATAACTTGCAGTGTTTTCCTGATGTTATCTTGGGTCTGTCTTTGACAAAGCCGGTCTGCTCCTTGTGCATTAACACTGGTAATATTCATTCTATGTGTCTGGATAGGTGAGTCTTTATAGTGAAAAGTGGTGAATAGTTTATAGTCATAAATTAAACACTTACATTACAGTAATTACCACACTCCAATTTGTCTTTCCCCTCCTTAGGCAAATTTCTTAGTTTTATGTAAAGCTCAACACATTTGAGTTAAACACTGCTAACTTTTTGCATTTGATATTTCTAAACAACACAAAAACTTATGATGACCACATCTATGTGAAAGACATTAAAACAGTAATTAAACAGTTTATTACTGTGGCTATCAGTTCCTTTTAAACAAGTAGGAATCTGTGACATTCCCACTTGTATTTCAGACATCAGAGGACCACCAAGTTGTTTTTTCTGTAAACACAGATTCCCTACTTAAAAGGTAAACTTTAAATGCAGGGTCATTTTTCTTCACCATGAGTACCATGAGAGAAGGCTGTTCAAATAATAATTAAGTGTGGACTTTTCATATTGGTCCTAAAGCAACATAATTTATCTAAACAGAAAACTCTAAAAAAGTAAACAACCTCTGTAGCCTGCATGTTTGCGGAGGCTGTTTAGTCGCTGACTCAAGCTGCAGTCCACATCTTGTGCACCTTGTTTTTACAGTTCTCCTAATGCTGCAGTTATTCTTGTTAATCGAGGATCCTCTTCTACCAAACATTTTACTTCTACTCAACTCAACTCTCTGAACTAATATACTGCAATACTGAATAATGTTCCAATGTTCATGTCACAGTTTTGCAATATACGCTTTGTACAGATGTTTAGATATTTGGAAATACAGGGCTGGTGCAATGAGTCTATGATACCACAAGGGGGCAGTGTTGTTTCACACGATAATACAAACATGAGGCTAGATAGAGGAGATTTTGGCATGTCATTTTTTGATACTTACAAGCTAAATTCAATCACACTTCACATCAAAACAGAGTAAGCTAATTTAAGAGGGTGGAGTTTGATTTTCTAAAGTTACCATAAAGAGTTTTCTCCATAACAATAATAGTGTATAATAGACTAAAACAGAGTTGAAAGCAAGATAAAGAGCAGGTTCATCGAACCACTTAAGAGAGCATGATGATATTGTTCTTACCATCTCTTCATCCTCGGCCAGCACCAGGTCATATGCACTCAGTGCAACACAAAAGATAATTGCTGTTACTCCTTCAAAGCAGTGAATCCACTTCTTTCTCTCTGACCGCTGGCCTCCTACATCAAACATTCTGCAAGCGAATAGTTCAGAAAAAGGATCAATTCCCTTCTTGTGTGTGAAAGATGTGGTTAATACAGAGAAACACAGAGAAGGAGTTTAAAGAAACATTTGTTGGGGTTTGAGGGAGGAAGTTAGTCTGATTATGCTTTCATGAGGTTGCTTTGAGATGAAAAGTGGTGAGGAAGCGGAAACCTGTCTGTCGGATGCATGGCAAAAGAAAAGAGGGACAAGGAGGGTTATGAGACACAGATATTGCTTTAAATTTAGAGCAAATGGGAAAAACTGAGCGCAAGATTTTAGTTGATAAATATCAACGCTAATGAAGTCTAAAAGAGTCATCTACATAAACCCATGTAAAACCAGTCTCCAAGTATTTTTGGTTTATAGTGATTGAGGGAAAAAGAACCAAACTGTATTAAACTGGCTTCCTATTATTGATTGCCTACATGTATTATTCAGGCTAAATACTGAGACTGAGACAAAGGGTAAATGTCAGAGTTTATCAGGAAGCCAGTCACACCAGAGACCTTTAGCTGATGCTGCTTTTTTAAATCAATTTCAAAGATGATCAATTCAACACAAACCACCGCCCCCCCCCCCGAATAAAAATACGGATTTTAAACCTAAAAATTAGGACCTTTTATACCTTTTCAACCAATATTGAAGATTTAAAGCACCCCCCGTGTTCTATAAGAGATGTCTCTATACATCCATTACTAACCCACACATCTGCTTTGGCTGATTCAGGGCATACTTTATGTAAGACCTAAAGCAGTGCGTCATGTAGAAGCTACTAAAATGTTATCACTCAATACAGCTCTTGTTTTATTGAACAAGAGCAACGTGGGCAGAATTGGATTTATTTACTCCACTCTGAGAGCGATAATGATGGTTGAGCTTTTAATTTCTGCCATAATTTGGCTTTCTAGTGGTAAAGTTGCCCATTTTACACCAGCATGGACTGCCACTTCTAATGCTGTTAATAATAGGGCCATTACCTTTTCTGGGCAAACAGTGAGAGCATCCACCTCCACATAAATACAGCAAAAGTATTCATAACCCATCATTTTTATATATATTTTGCGATGCTACAACCCACAATGTTTTCTATTTGAATATTAAAATAGTTTTCAACACAAAGTGGTGTCCATTATTATGAATTGGAAAAAAAGGATACCCACTTTCAACAGTTTTAGGGCATTTTGGTTCCACTTACACCTGTAAGAGATGCACACCAGTGGTGAAGCGTGAACATGACAAGTTAATCCAGAAGGGCTTATTTAAGTTGGAAAAAGATCCTAAACATTATTTCTAAAGGCTTTATTTCTACTTCTAAGCATGAGTCAGCCAGAGAGGTGTGTTCATGATATAAACCTTTGTCTTTGCTGTATTGTTTTACTCTTACATTGAATTTATGTTTTATATAAGTTCGACAAAGGCATTGTTTGATGTAAGAATACAAAACCCATCAAGATTTTATTTTCTACAATAAAGTCAGCGTCATGCTATCAGTAAAACAAACTCTTAATGGAGTTAGGAAGATGTTGAAGTGATACGCTGGCATTAATATTTCACATGCATGTGAACAAGGGAGTGCAATAGTTGATAACATAACATATATATTATATCAAATGGCAGACAAGTTTAAGATGAAGCCTGAAAAAGCACAAAGCAATATCAGAAGCCCAGAGAAATAAGACATGAGCAGTGTTCAAAATACAATTTAAAGATCACTCTTCCCTGAAACTGGAGCAAAAGCTGCAAAAAGCATTTTGATTTTACAGGGAGAGGATGGAAGTGCCAGTGTGAGAAAACACTGATACTGATACTAAAAAACTTGATTGAGTAAACACCATTAGGATGAAAGCTTGGCATATAAATAGTTTTATTTTAAGATAAATGTATGTTTCTTGTGTCTGATTCCTTGATATTTATAGTATTGTGCATGATCAGACCCATTTAAGAAAATGTATTTACTCAGAGATGCTCAATTTAGGAGTTTGTTTGGGTTTTTTTTATGAGAGCTCACTTTTGATTTAATTATTCTGTAAGGGGGAAAAAGGATCTGATCCTGAAATATTTGTTGTATGTTATCAACATCAGGGGATGTTCAGACCTTTTGGCTTAAAGGTATAGTGGAGGATTTTCTTTTTCCTGGTGGATCATCAAAATAAGTGGTCCTCCTAATTGTCAATCATTTTGGTGATATGTTTATGTAAAGCAGTCCTATGTGCTCATCCCCATTTTCACTTAACGGTGGTGAGTCTGACATAGTGAAAAAATTGTTTAATAGTTTAATAGGTGTTCCCTCTCGGGAGCGGGTACAGGGTTGTGCATTTTGAAATTGCATTGCATATTTAAAATGCATTTTTTTTTAAGTGGAGAGGGCGGGTTTTTTGATAAGATCCAATACCTTCAATGAAAAATTAAAATAATGATATTTTTGTTGAAGAAGCACTTGCAGTCAGAGACTCATTTCATCACGCTGCACCAAAGAGTGCCACAGGAAGTCATTCCTGTCTGTGTCCATAAAACTGGGTTGTAATTTTAGTATTTTTACTTATTTTATTCTGTCTTATTACCGTATTTTCACGACTATAAGGCGCACTTAAACGTCTTTTTTTTCCCTCAAAATGTGCGGTGCGCCCTATGGTGCGGTGCGCCTTATGTGTGTTGTAACTGCGACTTTTGAGACCACCTCATTGAGGAGATGATGAAAGAGTGGCTGAATGTAAGGAGACCAGGTGTTTTTTTTTTCCACCCCTCACCATCGCTGTTAATATGCAACTCCATGCGTGTCTGTCTCACGGCCAGCTGCCAGGTTTGATTAATACTTTGTAATAAATACATGAATAAAGCACAGTCATACTCAGTTTTGCCCCCGCTGTATTTTTAAATACGCAATAGAGGTATTTAAAGGTAGTAGAGGACATGTACCTGTATATAAAAAATGCGCCCTATAGTCCGGTGCGCCTTATGTGTGTGTTAAATACAGAAATGGGACACATAACTGAGAGTGCGCCTTTTAGTCCGGTGCGCCTTATGGTCGTGAAAATACGGTATGTTTTATTTTGCTGTATTGTAATTACAATCTAAATTTTCTCTCTTCTGTAAATGGTTGCAAAAAAAACTACAAGGAAATAATTTCCCGCGAGGGATTAATACAGTAATTCTGATTCCAATTATTGGTTTCCATTGAAAAAAACGAAACTACCTAAATGCACACTTAGTCTGCCATAAACATATAAGCCTCTAAGTCAGGTGGACATATACCCCAAAAGACTGTACCGGTAACTGATACAAAACGTGGGGTGAAGACAAATCTACATAAAATTATCTTTTCACAATTATGGACATCTTTGTGCTGATTTTTTACATTAAACTTAAGTATTATGACCACACATTTCACCATGTGGTCATAGTGTTAAAAGATGTTTAAACAAATCATAGGGTATGAATACTTTCTGAAGGGAATAAGAATAAAGTTTCTCACTATGGTTGAAGGACTTGATAATGATGAATAAATCAGGTGCATTTGATCTAAAGCACTTGGCTGCAACTTACCTCTCAGCTACAAGATTTCCTAAATGTGTTAATCTACTTTTACATTCTTATAAGTAGAATAATATTACTGATTTTGTCTGCCTTTTTGTTCCAATGAGGTGACTGTATGATGATCTTACTTGAAGTGCAGTTCCTTGAAGGTGAAGTGAGTCTCAACGATGCCAGTCGTCTTAACCCGAGTACGTAGAACATCCTGCTGGGAGGGGATGTAATCTGCTTTTGCTATCCTCTCCAAATCATTTAGGTAACTATCAGACAAAAACTGTGATCATAAGTTCAACATGATCTCTATTCCATGAGACAGAGAGAAAAATCACAATGAAAGACAAAACCAGCAAACAAATAAAAAATATGTAGGGTAAGGTATATTAAAGGTACATTAAGCTGCAACACAAAGCACTCTACATTTCACTAAGCAGCTCTAACTGAGTGAAAACACATTTGAGTGCCTGAGTACTAATGACTGTGCAGTTTCCCTTAGACATCAACCAGTGCAAGCTTTTGGAGGGCGATGCCAATATACAATATTTCAACATTAGCCAAACCGATCCCCAATATGTGCTGCCGATAATTGCTGTGCTGATCCTTGAAGCCCACATTGCTTTTTCTTTCTCCATTCCTCCATGATAAAAATAACACAATGACAGTGAATGATAAAAACAGATATTCAATAATTATTAACAAATCAAACAAAAAATTAACAATAAATAGCAGTTGAAGGGAGTGACCTATGTGCTTCACTTGATTTAATAGCATGGCTCCTGAATGCACTAATGAATCGGCCAAACACCTATCAGCTGATACCGATACAAGACAAAGCATGTATTGGACAAAATTATTGATTGGCCAATATCTCCACCTGTCTCTAGTTGCAGTCTAACCTGAGAAATATGTATTTTTCAGGTTAGACTATTACACTAAGTGGTCGATCAGATCAGCACTCCATCTTTATACTTGCTTGTCATCTTCACAGATTTTACTTTTTAAAAACTGTTTTGAAAAAAAAACATGAACATGCAGACGTTATCACTCTTCCACATGTGGTGTAATTCATGCAAATAAAGCGCATGACTACTGCAATTAGCAGAATAATCAATATTAAATGTCTGTGTTCATCTATCTTAGAGCAGTCTCTAAGTATTAAAAGTCCTCACTTATGCATATATATTTTGCAGGGAAAGTTTTGTGTTTAGTCTGAGTGTAGCGCTGAGTAGGCAGGATTGATTGTGCAGCCTTCTATGCAGCTGAATGTTGCTGCTAATGGTTTTCATGCGCTACTCTGTCACTTTGCAATTTGTTTGTACACGAAGAGGTTTTGCACACAAAAAAATCATTAACTTTCATTGGCAACATTAGGCATACTGATCAACAATATGAATGAGATGATATGCACATATTTGTAGCATCCTAAATCTGGAAAACTGTGCAAACTGCATCTGATGTTCTTGAAGTAAAAATTATCTTCATAATACAGGCTTTTTTGTTGTTCATTTTGCCAATTATTTTAACATTCCTTCCATTTTAAAATCCAAGTAAAGGTGTAGTTTTACTGCTTGTAGAAAATAGGGCAGCAGACATCAAAACTGGAAGTGTCTGTGTGATACCTTCAAAAGATGCAAAATTGTGATCACTTACAGCATGAAAAAAACATCTGCCATGTTTAGAATGAATTTCATTATAATCCATTCAATAATCAACATCATTTGGGGATCCTCTGTTGCTTGTTAAAAACCACAGACTACTATACAGATTGCTGGTTAGCAGGGACCATAGAAGTATTTTTCCCACACACACTGTCTGACCCACTTGCACAAGTTGTGCATCATCTTCTAAACCAACTAGAAGCACTAGGTGTCCAGCCATCCTGCACTTTTAAAAAAGAAATGAATATCTCCATCATTGATCTCCCTGTTTCTGCCTTACAGCTTAATATTTAATGAGATGTCAAGGTCTGAAACATGTAATGTAGAGAATAGAAACTATGACTCTTTAAGAAAACATCATTTTTTCTAACCCTTTAAGAAAGACCTCTTTATCTTTTTATCTCTTTTCAATATTAAAGTCCATAGAGGAAAAAATAATGGCTAAATGGAAGTTAATGGCCATTTTTCTCCTTCTGCTTTACTCCCTCTGAGAGGTTTTCACAGCAGCTTATATTAGCAAGGCTGCAAATGGAATCCATCACAATGCCAGGCAAAACACCTCCTCTGAGGCAGCACTTTTGAACAGCCATTTATAAAACAGACATTAAAATTTTCAATAAAACAATAAATCCATTGCAGGCATAAAATATCATCAGGGCATTTTCATTACTATCATTATACAGGTGTATTGTAAAATGAGAGTTTATACAAAACCTCTCCAGAAGCACAAGGCACAGGTTTTGATGCATATAGTGGCAGCTAACACCCATCAGAACAATCAGATGGGAGGCAACACTGTGAATTTATTTGATACTACACTTTAAAAAGGAAACACAAATCCATACTTACTAGGCTGCCGAGTCGTTGAGCTGGTATTCACGTGACCTTGTAAAGCAACTCTGTATGCCGCTATCGGCCCACAATCGCCTTATCACGTTGGCCAAGTCCTCAGGAAGAATGCCTTGCTCCTCTGCAGCTGCAGCCAGTGCAAAGAGCTGCTGGGCATCATCCTGCAGGAGAGGCAATGACATTTCGAAACTGGGCTGCTAATAGGAACAATATTTGTTCAGAATAAATATCCTTTTTTTAGCTTCCAAACAAGAGGAAATATTACCTAGTATGTATAATATGTAAAAAAAATAAAAATAAAAAAAATAAAACAAATCAGTTACTCGTGTGAAGATGAAACTTAAGAAGAAATAAAAACTTGATGCCATAAATATTTATTTCTTTTTTTATACAATCTAGAGACCTTTTTCACTGAGCTAAACATTAAATCTTTGATTGTCTAATAAAGAGGGAATTTGCACCATATAAATGTCCTGTGCTGTTAAACAAAGTGGAAGTATATTCTTAAGCTTTGGATACTTGAACCATTTTGTGCAAATTAAGAACAGGAGTGTATCGCACGTTAAATTCAAATGAGCAAGAAATGTCAGAGAGAGAGAAAATTATAACTATATTTACAGCTATGCTATAGCCATAGAAGCTTGTTATGTTAGTAGTTCTTGTTAAATATACAGATATTGTTACACAGATCTTTTTATTGCATTTAATTGCCTTCTTTGTCATCTCCAGGAAAACCGTCGGATTTATCATGAATCTGGTAACTATATAATTAACCCTTACTAATTATATAGCTTGTTGTGGTGATGCCTAGTCACATACACCATTAGTGGTTGGCATCAAAGTATTCAACTTTAACAACCAGAGTAGGCCTAATGCATACTGCCTCTACTACTACTAATACTGTTACTACTGTTGTAAAGGATTGCATATATTTGAACTTTCCATGCTTCTTCACCTGAACTACATAATCAAACCAAATTTGGTAAAGGACAGTGTAAAAATGCATTTCTCAGACATTTTTGGGTTTGTTTTAACTGGCAAAGCCTGTTGTTAGTTTGCTTGTGCTTGTGCACTTCTCACCAGAGCTGATGTATCCAAGTGCAGGCAGGCTAACGTGCTAATTGGTGTGCGTAGGAGTGTGAGAGTGCCATCACGTACACACAGCCTTTTAACAGATAGGTTTGGGAGAAAAAGGAAAGTATCACAGACACACACACACACACACACACACACACACACACATACGCACACACGCTGTGCTCCACTATCCTCAAAAGGGTATTTAGCAGGATTTGCAAAAGCGTTTACATTTTTGTGGCCTAAACCAGACCCTAATCGATCACTTACTGTTATGCAAAGGTGGGTAGAGTAACCAAAAGCTTTACTTAGGGAAAAGTAGTGCTACTTTATCATATCTTTACTTAAGCAATGGTAAAAAGTATAATACTGTAAAATTACTCCTAGCAGTTTTTATTTTAAAGTTTATTAAGAAATGTAACTGAGTAAATGTAACTAGTTACTACCTAGTACTTAACCCCAAACCTAACTTAAACTGAGTACACACTTGAGTGCAAAACCTAACACTCAACCTAAGAAGAGAACCATTCCTATAGTTCCCCACAAAGAGACATATTTCTGGTAGATTGACCTTATACTCCCCACAATATAAGGTCATAAAATGTTTATATAAAGAATCAGTAAATGTCTTTGTCCATTAAAATACTCTGGCAAATGTATTTTAGTGTAGACGGCTGCTATGCTCAAATTTGTACCCCCTACATTTTTTTATGGGTGCATAGTCAACACTGACTTTTAATGAGCGTAACAGCCATGGAAACAGTGTTTACCACATTTATCTCCTTCCTCACATTGTTGCACAAATATGTGAGAAAAGCACTGTGAAAATGTAAACCCCCACACCCTCCGGATGCTCTTATCGAATCAGTCTGACCACTTGCAGGCAGGTAAACACATGTGCTACCTCTCCAGCAGCAGACAGAAACTCAGCTTTGGAAGCACGAGTTAAATTGCCAGGTCCAGAAGGATTCCCAAATAGCCAATCTATCAAGTCGAACCAACCAATGGTAACCAATTAACCTAACAGTCATGTTTTTGGACTGTGGGAGGAAGCCAGAGTACCTAGTGAGAAGCTCCGTATGCACAAGGAAAACATGCAAACTCCATTCAGAAAGATCCTGTGCTGGGAATAAAACCCAGAACCTTTTTGCTGGAAGGCAACAGTGCTAGAAACTGCACCACCATCACAAAACCTGTCTGTTAACAACAGAACAGCATTGCAAGAAGTGTAACAAACTCCACAGATTAGCATAAAAAGGTAGCCAAACATTTTAAATCATTTAAATTCTTTGATCTTGTGAAATTTTAAACTTTACAAGGAATGTATAAAGGTAGAAAAAAATAGCTACCAGACAGAAAATGAAAACGTCCTTTTAAGAGAGAGGGAGGATATATTTGCAACGACAGTATACATTTCCTGTCCTCGAATAACCATGAAAAGAATGTGCAATTCAAAAAATATTGTGAAAACATGGAACACTGTTGAATTAAAGCAATGTCCAATTATGATACTGTTTATGGAAAAGGCTCAGGCTGAGGACAGAGACCATTAGCAGGGACTCTTAGTGTCTGTGCAAAGTTTTTGCAAGGGTTATGGTAATGTAGGCTATAGGTAATAATTATGAGAATGAAGATGGATGTAGGCACATGTTAATGTGTTTATTTTTGTTTTTATGCACATAATTAAATTGATTTGCTCACTTACTGGTCTTCAGAGCTGTATGGAATCATAAGTAAAGTAGAAATCTTGAAGATTATTGGTATTTAGGAAAATAGGAGATGGAAGGGGTATGATTAATTCAGTTTCACTTCTTCATACCCCTATTCAGATATAAGCATTTATACAAATAATTAATTACACATAATGTTTCTATCTATCAAATCTGTAACTTTACTGGATTGTCTGAAATAGTTTAATAACAAAAAAATAACAAACTTTTTTCTGTATGCCTTTTAACAAAAAAAAAACTTCAGGAGCATTCTGTCTTCATGAACTGATCAATTGTTCTGTCAGAACAATACTCTGTTTGTAACCATGAGTCATGTTCTGTTAATAAACGCTCTGCGGAGGAGGTCCAGTGGGAGACAGTGTGTTTGAGTCTGGGGTTCAACTGTCTCTCCTTTGTGCAGAAATTGTATTCACAATTGTGGATTTCAGTTCTTCTTTTGCAAAAACCTACATTTTATGAACCCGACATTTTGGTGCCGAAACCCGGGAGTCAAGATCCAATTGTCCAGGATCGTGTGGGACCAAGGCCAAGAATCTGTCGACAGCCGTCCTCCCTTCGCCGGACGGGGCCAGTTTGGTCCAACCCTGCCCTGGTTATCTTGGTGACGACTCCAGAGGAACTGATTCTACACGACAAAGGGTAGGCCTGAAGCTTTTGATCAAAAGTTGGTCTAGGACCATTTAAGTTACAGCTGTAATCGCAAGAATATTTGACGAGACCAAGTCTTTTTGACGGATATGGCATCTGGGTATTCTGTGCGTTAGAGTATGGGACTCTGTGTTGTTCTCAAGATAGTAAGGTTTGCAGCTGCCGCAGCAGTGATATTTGACAGATTCGGCATCTGGGTATCCGGTGCGTGCGAGGGCCTGGAGTTGGAGACTCAAAAGTGTACACATAACGATAGGTGTTTTTTGTCTATGTTGGTTAAAATAATAAAATATAATAGGCCTTAAAATAGGTGTGACTGTGTGAGAGTGTGTGAGGAAAAAAATCGAACCTTTCAGGTTCTGTTGTTTCATGCTAAAACAGCAGGGGTTAATACAGTACAGCTCTTGTGGATGCAGAGGCAAGAATTTCTCACCTGAAAAAGTAGAAGCAGAAATTACCACAACAGTTTTTGGGTGCTGTCCTGCTGAATAAACATCAAGTGCATAGAATACCCTAGGTGTTTGTACTGGACTAAATTCTTTAAAATGGGTAAAGGTCAAAATAAATTTAGGGATAATTTAAAATCTATGATTAGAAGTTTGTAGAAGCGCAGGATCCAACAAAAAATGAACACTTGAATATATAGTTTGAAAAAAAATATGGTTTTGAGGGACGCCTCTATTCCAAGATAAAATAATAAGAACTGAATGATAAAATAATAGAATTAAAGTGAGCCAGGGAGGTAAAAGAATGAAAAAGGATGGGTTCAGGGAAGAGTATAGGGAAGATCATAAGGGGTATGGAAAGTTTGTGTCAGATTGATCCAAGTAATTTAAAATACTTGTAGAAGTGGAAGTTAAGAGTATGAAATAGATGGTGTGTGGAAGTAGATCCATGGAGAAATGTTATGTGCTGGCTAGAAACAAGCACTAGTGCAAAACATAGATAAATAAATAAATAAATAAATATATATATAAATAAATAAATAAATGAGCTCCAAATGGCGAGGTGTTGGTATAATACATGCGCAAAGTAGATATGTTATTATTAACATAAAGTTATGTTTGTGGGTCTTTTAAGTTGTTTGTGCATCCAAAAAATAATGAAACACAGTTTAGAGGCAGACAACTTGAATTTGCAGCATTGGGGGGGTCTGTCCGTGGATCGGTGACTGCAGCATTGATCCAGTTGACAGCCTTCCTAATGCGCCTGCAGGGTCTCCAAAACTATTAGGTTCGGAACCAAAAAAAAAATAATTAATAATTCACCAGAAAATTATTTTAGTCATGCAAGCTACATACAGGGAAAAAAAAAAAAGAGGGATTAAATAAGTGGATTGTGCGTAGTTTGGACCATAATCGGGCTCAAGGGAGGGGCCTGTGGTCGCAGGGGAAAAACAAGGGGTCACGTAGAAAGCATAATAGGTGCTATAATTGTGATAAGGAGGGCCACTTTGCTCGAGAATGTCCAGATCCCAGCAAAAATTGCAGTTAATTGTGGACCCAGTGGAGGTCCTGGACCTACAGCAAATTTTCCTTTCTTTTTTAAACACATCAGAAAAACCATACTGGCATTTAAACATTCAAGGAGTAAAAGTAAAATTCTTGTGTGACACCGGGGCCGATAAATCTATTCTGAGGGATACAATACCTCAGATTAAAACGGGATCAAATTGGATCGCTGTAGTCTCTGCTGATGGGAGAATGGTGGTTCAGTGGTTCAGCTGAACATGAGACTGAATGTATTAGAAAAGTAGTGAAATGACAAGGGAAAAGGCTACTTTAGTTAAAAAGCCCAAACCACAGCAGCCTTTTCCTAATAAATTCTGAGCTACTTTCCTTTTTAACATTTTAAAAATGCTCTTTGAACTTAGTATTTATTTTCCTTTTTAAATTAGATCAAATCTAAAAACATGTGCTTCCTTTTAACATTCATCATAATACATCTTTCATTCACAATATCATTTACGGGCAGAGATGGCAAGTAACGAAGTACAAATACTTCGTTACTGTACTCAAGTAGATTTTTCTGATATTTTTACTTTACTTTACTACTTATTTTTATGGCGACTTTTTACTTCTACTCCTTACATTTTTACACAAATATCTGTACTTTCTACTCCTTACATTTTTAAAAATTGGCTCGTTACTTTAGTTTTGAATCATTTCAATGGAGTTACCGTTATTATTTTTCACGTCATCAATACCAAATTCAGTCTAATTGGATGGGAATCTACGTTGCATTTGACGCACCACTACAAGATGAATCGACAGATTCAGAGGTATTCATTCGTGGCAAATCATTGCAGCTTGGTGGCGGTGGCGTTAGCATAGTAGCATGGACGACGAGATGATTGAAAATGAACACAACGGAGATCTAGTCCTATTGGCAGACATCCATTTAAAATGTAGGCAACGGCATGAAAAAAGTGGTTTCTACTTTTACTTTTATACTTTAAGTAAATTTACAAGCCTGTACTTTGTTACTTTTACTTGAGTAAGGAAGTTTAATCAGTACTTCCACTTTTACCAGAGTATTTTTTAACACAAGTATCTGTACTTTTACTCAAGTACGAAAAGTGAGTACTTTTGCCATCTCTGTTTACGGGGGGAGTGGCGGCCTTGTGGTTAGGGCATAAAGTTTGGAATCCTGAGGTTGCAAGTTTGAAACCCACTCCCACGGACTGCCACTCTGTGTTATGGTCTTCGTTCTGTTAAGTTTTCAGTTTCATGTTAATTCATGTTTCTTTGTTTTCTAGTTTTATTGGTTTAATTCCTATTTTGTTGTGTTTTTTGAAGAATTTGACTTCTTAGGCTTTTCTTTGTTTCCCTCTGTTGCCCTCTTGTGTTGGTTTCCTTTTCCTTAGCTCTTTTCCTAGAAGCCTCTGTTCACACCTGTTCCCAATCAGCTCGTTAGTCCTCCCTTTGTCCATAAATGCTCTCCCTGTGCAGTTCCTCATAGGGAAGTTGGATTTTTGGATTCCTGCCTCTGTTACCAGTTTTCATGTGCCTGTGCCTCTGCATTTTGGTCCTCAAACCTCACCAAACACTGAAACTTTGGGTCTCTGAGCAAGACCCTTAAACCCTAATTGCGCCCTGGCCGCCCCATGTAAGCAGCCCACTGCTCCCCAAGGCGATGGGTTAAATGCAGAAGTAAGTTTCTCCAATGTGTGATCAATAAAGTTTAATTATTATCTCTTAGCTCTTATTTGCTGATATAATTATTTTGTGTGTAAAGCACTGATCTGTTTAGATTTAGTTATTCAGATGTTTAGATTAAAAAAAAAGAAAAAAAAGTGAAACGGGGGTAAAGAGATTCATTATTTGTTGCATCAGATGTGCAAAAAAAAGAAAAATGAAATCAAAGCTCTTTTTATTTTGAAAAATGAGTGACATCAGTTTTATGTTTTAGTTTGAGCCTGTGAGAGACATATGGGAAAGGTTACCATGAGCTTAATTGAAAAAGAGGAAATTTAACAATGTGACTATGTTTTCTACTACAGCTGGGCGAATTCAGCAGGTTATAAATGAATCCATCTGCTGATGCTGCAGGCAGCTTCTGATAGTACTTCTGAACAAACCCAATCCCCAGAAGACTCATAAGCTGCTGCTGCTGCAGTTGCTTCACATAGTTATGTTAAGTCACAAACTAACGTGTCAATTACAGCTCTTAGAGAAAGGAGATTAAAGATGGAGGAGATGATGAATTCAGTAAGGCAGACATTGTTTCCCTGCAGGTTACAGAGATACATCAGAGAAGGATCACACCATGTTCCAGTTTTTACCACATCAATGTCTATTTGGAAAAAAAAGGCTGCTGTGAACAGTTGCATGCTAAAACCGCATGATTCCACATTTGTTTTACTAGAACAGCTTCCCTGTGTTATCGACTCGACATGAGTTGCCAGGAAGATGTGAGAAATAGACCTGCTTGCTTTCCCAGAGGTGCCACAGCCTTAAAATAATCTTTGCTCACAAAATCTCACAAGGGTAGGTCCAGGTCATGGAGGAAAATCCTTGCTCCAGTGTAACCAACCAAGCAACACAGCTGTAGCTAAGTTTGGAATGGAGAGAGTTTAGAAAATAGAGCTAAATACAGAGGGATTCAGTTAAGGGTGAGCGTATTCTGAGCTTTAAAGTCTGAACCACACAAAGAAAAAAAAAGGTGTGGATAAAATAGGTTTTGCTGAGGCAAAAGGAACATCTTTATCAGCTATTTTCGCCTTAACAATAACTTAATTTAAGATTCAAATAAATTAGGTGCATATATACAATATTTAAAAATATTAGTTTTGTGTGTCTTACCGCTCTGGCAGGGTCACTGTAGTCTATCTTGAGGCTGGCCATGGCTTTGACAATGGCCATAATCGACTGGATGGTATTACTGTAAACAACAGCTCGGTACTGCTTACACTCATCCTCTGAGTAGCCGTCTTCATGAATAATCCTAAAATATCACAAAAACATTGTATTTATATAAGGGAAAATTGACGGCCAACTTTTCAATGCAAAAGTTAAAACCTTTTGAAGATGCTTTTCTAAATTAATGCCTCATACCTGTTTTACTGCTCTGCTTTGGTTAGAATACTGAAGCATCATTGAAAAAAAAGTATCTGAACATACATAGTACAATCAGGCAGGAAAAAAGAAGAAAAGGACACCTGTATGCGTGGAAGTATAAATGGATCCAACAAACCCTGGATTTAAGATGTGTATCTAAGTAATAGTATTTCTAAACCTCTTACATCATTTGTAATAGCATATTAAAGAAATTTAATATTTGACTGGACACCTTATTTACTTATTATGTAAATGGTTTCAGTTACTTGGCGAGATCCTTTTAATTGGAGCCAGAGTGGTGACTGTAAAGGGTGTGTACAGTGGACATTATGTCAAAAGCCTCACTATGAATCAATGGTAGTGCTTTCATCCAGACATGGCCAATAGAGGATCATCTAACAATCTGGAATAAAAGGAGTTTCCCCAAATGGTCAGGTAATTATTTGCCGAAATATTCAGGGAGTAGGCAGCAGTTTCAATTTCAATCATCACACATCTCGAAGTAAGCGAACGAGCTGTTGGTGTGGGTTTAGGTATTATTATTACTGGGGTATTGCTTGAAAATTAGAGTTTTTGTTGCATTGCTCTTGTTGTAGTGGTGGATATTTGGAGCATACATTATTTATGAAAGCAGTGGTCCAACTTTGAAGCAAGGGATTATCATTTCAATTTTAACATTGATGGTGGTTCATGAAAATCTGAATTTTCAATGTAGTTTGGCTGCAGGGACGTCACGGAGACGTCAAGCATAAATCAGGCGTCTGTATATATTCATATTCATCTCCATTTGAAAATAATTATATTTTAATTATTTTTTATATTTATCATTAATCAAACCAAGTTCTATTTTTTTTATGATCTTATAAGGTAAACACTCTGACACTAAACATAATAAAAAAATACCTTTGAAGAAGCAAAGTTTTCTAAATGAGAAATACAAATTAAAAGCATTAAATTTAAGCATTAAACTCATAACAGGTTTACCTTTTTCATTTAAGCGTACTTCTCTCTGAGAAGATTAAAGAAATCGCCACTGAAAATTGCATTTTAAACATTAATTTAGGAAAATGTGTAGGTAAGGTTTTAAACACAGATACATCTGTTATCCAAACAAATGTATCTGTTTCTATCACCAGGACAGAGGAATATAATAGAGTTCCTAATTTGTGGGTGGGCTCATGTCAGACTCGCAGTTCTAATTCAGGATATAAAAAATAGATTTAATATTTCATTAATTTGAGCAAAAAACACTAAGGTTGGAAATCTTTGAGCTCTAGTTCAGATCATTATCCTGAATTTGTCCATCCAACCATTCATCCATTTTAGAGGAGTGAAGCAGAGTGAAGCATTTTGAGGTCAGAAAGCAAAAAGGTAGAACAATTGTTGCACTAACCTGCTAATGGTGGCAGCCCAGCGCGGGGCTATTAGTGCTTTGCTTCACATTGGTGAAGGCATAAATGACACCTAGGAAAGCAGCTGCTAATATCTTGCAAATTGTGTAAGAGACTCATGCTGAAAACTAGCTGAAGAGAATTGAAGTCCCATGGCAAAAAACTGAAGAGGCAGCCGGTAAGAAATCTGACTTTTATAGGATCTTACCGCTACTGCTCTTTAATTTATTATGTGTAATTTGAGCGGAGTCCTCCTCGTTTGATTTGTGCTGCTTGATTTGAAAATGGCTGCAGTGGTGTAAATAATTTGGGAAATGTGTATCCATGTTGTGCTTTATTGGGTTGTGTTGTATGGTATTTAAGGTTAAATGTCTGGGCAAGGTGCAATATTGTGGTACATTTTTTAAAACAGTCATGTGTATATGAATATTCGATTGATTCAAGTATTTTGATTTCATTTATAGTTTGTATGTCCTGAATATTATATGTTCATTAACAATCCTGTCTTTCTGTCCTAAGGTTTTTACCAGACTATTGTTAAGATTGACCACAAAATGGGAAATAAAAAGAATGGAAAAAGTCTCACCTGTTTTGTCTGAGTAAATTCAGCTATACTCTTAAAGTCATGGGTCCAGCCCTTTCAAGTGTGGGGTGCAGTTACTGAAATGCACTGAAACAATAATTTATTTTAGGTTGTTTTCTTTTGTTTTTACATTTTTTTTTACTTTGGATGATACTAATTATAAAGGGCTTTGTTTTTATAAAATCACCATTAGCATACTGTATATAGCTCTAACACCATGTGTCAGTGAACATATGGTTAACAAGGCTGTGGCCAACAATCAGATATATCTTAAAGAGTTCATAGGCCATGACTGATCAAAAGGTCGATGATTTAGTGCCTCACCAATTCCAGTATTGATTCTAACAGCCTAAAATAGAAATGAGTGGTAATAGGTGGGTAACCATCCATGTAACCAGTCAATAATCTGCCACAACAGTAACGCATAAAAACAAGCAATGGTGCACACTAGTCCTCTGTTTAAGGGTCAATAAGGATTAAGCAACTGGACGCATTTGATTCCATTGACAAAGAGAAAAGGAGCAAAGCATGTACTGGTTGAACTGATGATTACAGTACAGAGCAAAGTCTCATCTGATCAGCAAGTGCAGGTACTTGTTAAATAAAGCATTTGACAAAGTAAGAATTAGCAGTATGGATATTTAGAATTACATAGGTTGCAGTATAAAGTTACAGATTAAATAATATGAACACATTCTACTTTGATAGCAAAAGTTATTCTGTATAATTTCCTTGATTCCTTATCAGATTTCTTACACTTTCTAAGAAAAATAAGTACATTTCCAAGTCTAAATCAGTTTGCAGTCCTGAATGCTTTGGTTAGAGTCCAAATACAACACTTTATTCGAAATGTATGTAAGACACTTTAAAGATTAGGGATAGACTGATGGACAGCTGCATGGAAAGATGGATGCAGTGCCGGCACTACTCCCAGTCATGCATAAATATAAAATTATATAAATGGCAACCATAATACTGAAATATTTAAGATAAAAATATGGGAAGCTTTGTATTGCTTATTAGAAATAAGCAATACAAAGCAAAAAATATCCGCTCAAGAAAAACAGGGCTGTGGATGGATGGATGAACGGACATATGGGACTTTCTAACAATGGAATAAGTAATGAAGAATTGAATTGAAATATTATGTTCATACTTGCATTTCTCCCTTCTTGCTCATGCAGACCAAGAGACAATATTTGAAATAGTATTCCAGATTGCCTAGGATACCCTGTCATTGGTTAATGTAAAAGATGTGAATAAATTTGGCAACCATGTTGTTGAACTAGATCATCTCGGCAGGATTCAGCTGATGCATTGTGCCAAGTCCACCTTATGCAGCACTGTAATTGTAAACATAGGAATGATGGAAGTGTTTACCCATCAAATACATCATGCTGCAAAACAAAATGCTGAGAGAGCAATCTGATACAATTTTCTATTCATTTTAAAGTCAGGCTGCCCGATGGAAAACACTGAAGTGATTAATGATGACCAGAGGCAAGTCATGATGAGGCCTCATTCGTTCTAAGCTGTTTTAACACTGTGCATTTCTAACTTCCTACAGGCTATTATTGTGTGTAATGTTACACAACAGGGGGTTGTCTTGTGTTTTTTTTAACAAGTTGATTTATATACATGTGGCTGAATGTATTAATTTAATTATTCCAAAAACAATGAAGTGTTTCCACTTAGATTCATAATAAATAGATACAGTGCCTGGTTAGCCCTGAGGAATGTGCATAATTTAGTTTCCTCAGAGGGTGTGTGTGTGTGTGTTGGGTGGAGGGGGGTGTATGGCTTTACTGAATTCAGAAAAATAACAAGTGCTTCTGTGATCACAGACTTTTCTCACGGACATAAATCCAAAAAAGTGGTTAAAATGTTTCTGGGAACCGTATTGCAAGAATCCAAAATGAACATATCAAACGACGTAGTCTGAACTCTGTGTTTGAAAATGTACAATCAGAAAACACATACAAAAGATAAGTGATGTTGTACAGTCTTAACTTCTTTAAAAGTACCTATGAAAATATAAAGTAATAAAACTAAAAACGAGATCTACAAAAGTTCAATTCAAATTCTTACTCATCATAGGAAACAATAACCTAGCAAAATCTGGAGTTAGGGAATTAACAAATCTCACAACAATTCATATTGCTTGCAATGTAAAAAAAAACATCAAAAGAAACATCAAAAGACAACAGGATTTTAAGGGCTTCAAAACTATTGCTACTTCAACTTACAGTATCTCACCCATTATTCAAAATAAGCCAGAAAAGGACATGGAGATAAAAAAAAAAAAAAAAAAAAAAATAGGGTTCTTAACTTACTTCATTTGCTTTACAATGGTGCTCTTCCCAGATTCTCCTGCACCTGTTGAGACATTAATATAAGTTTAGTTTAGCTGTAGCAGGGTTCTGCTTTGAAAACCCTGCCCCACTGATGACCTGGCTCTGAGATTCATGTTCCAATTTGAGTGGATGTGATTGCCAGATATAAATGATGTTGTTCTATTAATTCCAAGAGCGCAGGGAAGAAATAAACCAATAACCAAATAGTGTATAAATAACAACGTAATTTTAGATTAGATGTTTCACCATAAAGTCAAATTGATCAGTTTAGAAATAAGCTTAATTGCTAAGATTTTATTTCTGATATACCAAGTATGATATCAGACATTAACTGCTTGCAGATATATAAAACTGTGTGCTCTAAAGTGGAATTGTTCCCCTTTAACATAGCACTTTAAGTAAAATGCTGCTGTCTTTTCAGCTCTGGTTTGCAGACTATCTTCCGGTTTTAGTATCTGTTAAAAAGCTAATAGTTCTGATTCCTCCAGATATTCAGACTGCTCTAAATACAATGACACCATTGCAAGTTTACTTAGGACACTGAAACATCAGAGCTTAATATCAGACTCTGCCTAACTAAAGCCTGCCTCTTTACCACAAAGATAAAAATTACTTGCCAGACATTTTTTTCATGAGTATTGAAAATATTTACAAAATAAAATATGGCTGTGTTTTTTTCCGCTTTATTTTAAACTGGTACAACAGTATGGAGCTAAATCGGTCTCAATTTTCACACACATAAGCACACTTTGGTGAATCTTGTCCTGTGCATGTATGAATCACATATGTGTATTTGTGAAAATTGAGACCGATCTGCTACTTATACAGCTAAAACAAATTGTACTATAGTATAATTTCGGAAGACATTACTGTGAACTTCTAGAAACCGCTGCCATCAACTGCAAACCTTTTCCAAGGCTGCTTGAGCTAATAGGTTGTCAATCATGATGATAATCAATCTGAAATCACCTTAAACAGCTGTTCTGCTGATGTGTATTGGTTCTTAATGCAAACTATGAAATATAACAAAGAGTTTTCTTTATTCCTTTTTATTTTTCAAGAACATTTTTGCTTTATTAAAATGGACATGAATCGGTTCTATAGTGCAAAATTTAGAATCTTACTTGCCTATGTTTAAAACATCAAATCTCTGACAATTTTTTTTTTTTATCAAATACCTTGTATTAATCTCATGTTTTACCTGCCTCTTTACATGCATTGGAATGTTAAAAGACTGCTTTGATGAGATAAAGAGTAGCAAATAATGAAAATACTAAGAATGACCTGAAAGCGATTGTAGCTGTTGAAACCGGAGTATTACTCTCACTACAGAGAGACACACATTGAAGGTCACCTTCCTGGCTCTAAAATAAAACCCTTCCATTAATATTTGAAGCCTAGCAGGAGGTGAACTCTTGTAAAAAGGAAGAAAAAGAAGTGAGCTTTCTAATTATTCTTGCAGGGTGTTTCATGAGAAGACACTATTCTTCTGCTTGAGGCTAACATTTTTGAAGTGCCATCAGATTTTACAAGAAAATGTCAGCTTGCTGTAAATATTGGGATAAAGAATTAAATCTAATTATTATTGTTGTATGTCTTTTAGCTGAAATTTATTAACAAAGTCAATGTTTTTGGATTTTATCAGTGTTGTAGACAGAAAACAAAATACCTAGCTGTATTTTTTTGCATTTGATAATGGTACTGTGTTCAAGATTCAAGATAAGGATAGTACTAACTACTGCAAAATTAAGCTGTTAGTATTAATGTGACATAAAAGCTAGATGGACATACACAGATTTCTTTTAAAACAACAAAAGGTATAAAAACAATAGTTCACAGCATTGTGTGTTTGACACAGCAAGTGCAGACTAACAATTTGACAGTATACTGTACAGATATTTCTGAGTTACAATTAAGACTCCTTAAACTTGCTTTTGAAACAAAGTACACTTTTTTAAGTCTTTGAACTATTAAATTACTGATATGCTGCTATTATTTTAGTTGTAGCAACATGTAAGGGATAATAGATATACGCAGTGCTGGCTGGTGCAGTTTTCTCCAGGGGGGCTATAAATTCAAAATAGACAAATTCCAAAAGCCAATTAAATGTATACTAAGTTATCACACCATTACATTTATGTGAATGCAAACAAAAAACATTATAAAAACAGTTTAAAGACAAAACACAGTTTATTGTACAGGTTTACTTTTTGTACACAAATCTTGCCCTTCCATGGCTTTGTGATGGCTATGTGTGTTTTCCTGCTTTTGTGTCTAAAAGCCGTCATTTTTAAACAGGGTTATTGCACCTGATTTATGGTATTGGCTTTCGTCAATGTATAAAAACAACCCAGAGAAACTGCCTTTAGTGTTTCTATCCTGGGAAGCTGCTCTCTGCCAACTTGTTCATCTTAAACATGGTGGTTTGCTTTGGGACTGAAAATCAATTAAAATATTTTTTTTATAATGGAAAATGAAAATAAATCCTGATTTTCTACATCATAAAAGTCTACAGTGAAGCAAATTAAATTTGATGAAAACACATCTGCATCATATACCCAAAGTGTATAATGCTATGATGTTATTCAAAAAAATACTATGATCGTTATTAAAAAAAACTTCAAATAAAAATTTATTAGAAAATAAAAAAACAGTAAAATTGGAAAAAGAAAGGAAAATGCATAATCTTTCAATTACAAAATTATAAAATGATATATATTTTCTGTCAATATTTCAGAAGACATTAAAGCAGACTCATTTTTGTTCATTAAGAGTTTTTGGGTTGGATAAACGAGAGCCACCATATGTGAGAGGAGGGAGCAGTCAGACATGATCTCTTTTAAATAAGTTCTGCTTAGGGCTGATGGCTTCCTCTCTTTTCTCGCAGTCTCCATCTCTGATGATAAAGGTGGAGAGAACCTGCCACCCCCATCTAGTTCTTACAAAAAAACATGTATACTTAACAGTAAACATAGGTGTTTAAAGTCATTTTAAACAGCACGTATTTATAGATTTTTGGCAAGATTTCAAATCAACAGTTAAACTGCAAGATGGTGAAAGCTTGTTACTTGATAAAGCACCCGAGTTGCTGAACAAAGTAGTTAGCTGGGCCTTTTACAAAGAGCAGTGATATCGGCTAGTTCAATGAACCATTGTTTAGAAAATGTTTCCATAAAATGTTCCTCTTTTTATAAACATAAAAAAATGTGTGGACTCTGCTCATTAGACTCACGTGGAAATACACTGTTATTACTAAACATGCTCACAGCTGGAATCACAATCAGTCCATGTCTGTCTCATGAGTGAAAAGTCATGCTGCTCACTCACTGCATGCCCACAGGGTGGGATTGATATTGGGCCGGATGTCTGCTTCTTCATGTTCAAATAACAACCTGTCGGGGGTGGATATAAATCTAAACTCATATAGGGTGCAATACAGATATCAGATCTAACGGCGTGAGTGTTATTAATTGGCACACGGCGGGGTGAAATTGCACATCCTCTGTTTAGTCACTGTGACGAAGCAAAGCTGAGTAATATGCACATGAGAAAAACATCACTGTCCTTTCATGATTAACTAGAATCACAAACTGACCTTTCCTTTGATGTTAACTTCAATTATCATGGTTTGATTTGATGCGATCTCAAAACTAAATCATGATAATAGACTGGTTAATATTCCAAATGTAAACATTATATTTACCACAGTGACAAAAATTATGCTGTGTCAAGAACATATTTTTTAGATTTTACTCAGTAATTAATCCGTTTCTAAATATTTAATATACATAAAGTCCTTTTTATGGCAGTCATATGAACTAACAGAACTGGCTATCTTGCTCAGTAGTGAAGTCTTCCAAAGGGTTGATCTGTAAACCTGTGACATTGAGTGAGAGAAGGACATTTATGGTCTGCATCAAAGGAATATTAGTCTATTTTCTAGCCTTCTTTTCCCCAAAAGAAAGAGTTCTAAACAGTAGATGTAATGTATTCAATTAAAGTCTATCTAATTGGATGTAAGAGAAGTGCCCAAGCGATTGGAGCGCAGAATAACAGAGTACTGCTCCCTTCCTCTGTTGTTGCTGTGCACTGCTGGCCAGCTGGGTGAAAGGGGATTTCTAGATTTTGGCTTTGCTTACAATGAATACAGATTTGTCTGTTTATAATAGGGTTGTCAAAAGTATCGATACTCAAAAAAGTATCCGTACTGAAACGTTGTATCCGGATACAATACTCGTTTTTAAAAGTATCGATACAGTGCTACAACCAGTGGCACCTAAACAGTCATTCATCTAAAGTGCAGAATAGAGGAAAATGCACTTTCAGAACACTGTGTGAATAAATAATTCTACGCACTTTTCAGTTTCAGACTTTTTTTTTGTAAGAGGTGCAGCTGCTGAGAATTATTTTTGTTACTTAACCGGTTTGGCTAGTGTCATTGTGCAAAGCATAGCCAAGGAAGGAACACTTAATTGAAATTTTACAAGTTTTTTTTTTATCAAGCTTGCTTAATATTGTGCACAGCATACAACCTCAAAATATTGTTCTTATTGTTAATTGTATTTATTTATTGTATTTTATTTATTAATGAAAATATTTCTGTTGAATTTTGGAGTCTTTGTTTTTATCCTTGTGGTATCGAAAATGGTATCGAAAATCAAATATTTTCCTTGGTATCGGTATCGAGTTGAAAAGTTTAGTATCGTGACAACCCTAGTTTATAATATACATTTTTCCACAGGAGGGGGAAAAAGAAGTAGTCGATTGAAAATAAAGGTGTCCCATCCATTATTCATCTGAATTATGAGGATTGTTCCCAATGATTATCAAGTTGCTAGCTGTATAGGAAAAAATATAGTAAATAACAAACTAACCAGTGTATATAAGCTGATTATACTTTCTGCATTACAAAAAGTATAGTATTTAATGCAACTAATAATTAAAAGAATTACTAAATCCTAAATCTATAACTATATAAATAGATCTCATACAGACAAGTTTCTCAGACAGAACTCTGGGGGC